ATAAAATGTATATGAAAACCTTCCTCCTGTCAGAGTCTGGGCGCACCACAGGACCCAGAGTCAAGTCCTTGCCTACCCACACGCGCCTCAAAATAGGGTGAGACCCAGACCTGGTCACTCCCACCACGGGGCTAGATCCAGACCTGGCCAGTCCCACCCTTATCAAGCCTCACTGGGTGGGGGCATGGGGGCATGGCCTGAGGCTAAGTTCCCCTGACCCAACACAGGGGGTGCACCTTGAGGTCCCCTGTCAAACCCCACTGGGTGGGGGCGGGGGGCATGGCCTGAGGTCCCCTGTCAAGCCCAGCCAGGCATGGGCGCAGCCTGAGGTCCCCCAGCCTGGTTCTGGAGTGGGGGGAGGAGCCTGAGGTCCCCTAGCCCAGCACCATGACAGGAAGTGCACCTTGAGGTCCCCTGTCAAGCCCCGCTGGCGGGAATGCGGTCTGAGGTCCCCTTGCCTGGTGCCAGGGTGAGGGGCATGGCCTGAGGTCCCCTGTCAAGCCCTGCAGATGGGGAATGTGGCCTGAGATCATGTCAAGCCTCACAGGGGCAGTGGAGGGCAAAGCCTCAGGTCCTTGCTGATTGCTTGTTAAGGCTCCTTATGGGAACTTGGCCTCAATTGTGGGTGCAGCCATCTTTGTGATAGAGAGATGGTCAATTAGCATATTCCCTCTTTATTAGAAAGTATAATAATAAAAGCATAATATGCTTGGGGGGGGGGTAAATATGTATATATATACTACCTTAAAAAATTTAAAAAGCATAATATGCTAATTAGACTAGACATCCTTCCAGACTAAGCCAGGGCTGCAAGGGGAGCCCCTCCCAGGTGCCAGAGAGAAGCTGGTATTGGCAGCCGGGGGGGAAGGAAGGCCTACTCTTGCACAGTAGGCCTTCCCTTCCAGCCTGATACACCTGTACATTTGAACATGTATATTATTTATACTAGTAAAAGCTTTGGCGGCAATCAGGCCATCGGGGGAGGGCAGTTGGGGGCGATCAGGCTGGCAAGGGAGCGGTTAGGCATCAGTCAGGCCCGCAGGGGAGCAATTGGGGGGTGATCAGGCTAGCAGGCAGAAGTGGTTAGAGGCTGCATCCTTCTGGACAAAGCCACAGTGGCTGCCTGAGGCTCAGGCAAGCTGCAGATGGTGGTTGCCGCTGCCCAGGCCAAGACTCAGGCAAACTACAGTGCCTGCAAGGACCGAGGCTCAGGCAGCTGCGCGGCTGGCAGTGGCAGCAGCAGAGGTGTGATGGGGGCATCACCTTCTCCTGATTGCCAGGTTGCCTCCTGCAGAGGGAGGCTAGAGGCAGCAGCAGCAGCGAGGGGATGGTGGAGGTGGTGCCTTCCCCTGATCGGCCATGGGGAGCAGACCTAAGCTGCCAGTAGGACCTAAGCTTCCAACTCAACATGTAGCAACAAGAAAGCCACCAAATTATAGACCCTGAGGGCTTCCGGATTGTGAGAGGGGGCAGGCCGAGCTGAGGGACACCCCCGACTCCCACCCCGTGCACAAATTTTTGTGCATCGGGCTTCTAGTACTCTGTTTCCCGAAAATAAGACAGTGTCTAATATTAATTTTTGCTCCCAAAGATGAGCTAGGTCCTATTTTCAGGGGATGTCTTATTTTTCCATGAAGAAGAATACAGTACACATTTATTGTTAAATGAAAATAAAGGAAATTTATTACCTGTATACAGTACGGTAGTATGGTAATTGTCAACACAAACCAGACAAACTGTAAATCCTACAGTATCAAGAATTTATTCATTTATTCAATGACAATCATGTCATCATCATCTTCTGGAACATCATCATAACAATCCAATTCCTGAATTTCCTGGTGAATTTCTTATGACTCCATTTCTTTTAGAATCAATGGACCAAATCTCTCATGTTTAGCCTGGGTGGGGGCCTTATTTTTGGGGGGATGCCTTATATTTCACTCAGAAGGAAACCTGTAAGTAGGTCTTATTTTCGGAGGATGTCTTATTTTCGGGGAAACATGGTGTGTGTGTGTGTGTGTGTGTGTGTGTGTGTGTATATATATATATAAAAGCCTAAGCAATTGGACAAGTGGCCCATGGCTACGATGCACACTGACCACCAGGGGGCAGGCACTCAATGCAGGAGCTGTCCCCTGGTGGTCGGTGCACTCCCACAGCGGAAGTACCACTCAGGTGGCAGACAGGCGCCAGATGCTGCCACTGCCCAAGGACACTCCTGGGTGTGCCGGAAGTCCCCAGCAGCAGGCACAGTGAGGCTAGGATGAGCCGGAGCAGCACAGCGCCAGGAGCAGCACAGCGCCAGCCGGGGCTCGGGCTCCTCCCCAGCACCTGCCACTTCCCGCACTACTTTGTGCTGTGCGGGATTGACGTGAGCTGAGCCCGCCAAGCTGGTGAGTAAGGCTGGGTTGCAGCAGCATGGAGGTCCACTGATCCCCACAGGCCAGGCCGAGGGGCCTCTACTCTTTATATATTGTGCCTTTTATTGGGGATTGCGCAGTTTAAAATTGGCCAAGCACTGTCTACTGTTCCTAAGTGCAAGAAAACTGATGTGTTTATGTAGAAAATACATGTTGGATAAGCTTTGTTAAAGTATAAGTTACAGTGCCACTGGCCATGAGTTCAATGTTAATAAAATAAGAACATATATAACAGAAACACATAAAACAAGGTTATGTATTGATCAGTTGATGGAAATGTTGTGACCAGAGACTCATATAAACCTAACCTTGTATTTTCTCTATAGTATTTGCTAACATAGTTCTCAATGACTTCACAGAACACAACTACTTCCAACTCAACATGTAGCAACAAGAAAGCCACCAAATTATAGACCATTTTCTGGAACAACAGATTATTTTCCCCAAAGTCAGACAGTAGTTGTAGGTTTCAGAGAGGATAACCACAGGGACTGATGATAGTGTTATTTCATAGCCTACAGACTAAAAACATTAGAATAATGCAATGCACAAAGTTAGAAAATGAGTGTTTTTATTGATTTTTATAGAGGAAGGAAGAGAGAGAGAAAAATATCAAATGATTCGAGCGAATTATTGATCACTGCCTCCTGCACACCCCCTATTGGGATAGAGCCCCCAATCCAGGCATGTGCCCTTGACCGGAATGGAACCGGGACCCTTCAGTTGGTAGGCTGTTGTTCTATCCACCCACTGAGCCAAAACGACTAGAGTTCTATGGAATTCTTTAAGAGATCCTAGACCGTTAGTGTTATCTTATGTAGTTAAACTAATCAACTGTAATTGCTCAGCAAAGAGAAAGAAACAAAGAGAAAAGAGAGGGAAAGAGAGAGAGGCATAACCGTAACCGTGCTGGCAATCTGCTGCCATTCCACTAAATGAGGGCGTTCTATTCCCTGGGACACTCTCATTTCTCCAGTCTCTCTTACATCACCTGATCATAAACAAACTACTTTCTCTGGTGCTCAAGGGAAGAAGCAAGGATTATTTCAACCCTAAAGGAAAAAAGGCTGCATATGACACTGAAAATGGAAATCAGCCTTCAAATGCTGACTTCCTAATGATATTTCAAGGACAATTTTTAAAAATATATATTTTATTGATTTTTTACAGAGAGAAAGAGAGAAGAATAGAGTTAGAAACTTCAAGGAGAATAATCAACCAGCTGCCTCTTTTACACCCCCCCCCACTGGGGATGTGCCCGCAACCAAGGTACATGCCCTTGACCAGAATCGAACCTGGGACCTTTCAGTCCGCAGGCCGACGCTCTATCCACTGAGCCAAACCGGTTTCGGCTCAAGGACAATTTTTAACAATACTCAACTTTCACAGTATACAGTGAGAGTAAAACCAAACCCTCAAATACAGTAAGACTCATTATAATAATGTAAGCTGAAATTTGTTACAATATGCTTTTACGGTACTTCATATTGTTTAAAGTAATCTCATATAACAGTATCATTTAACATACACAGCAGCCAAGCAAAGGCAGAACAAGAATGGCTTGTTCTGTCTTTGCTTGATTTCTGAACTTGATTTCCTTTTCAGAAATCAAGTTCAGTAATGGAAAATGAGTTTTGAGCCAGATAATACAGGTTCAAATGCCAGGCATATTGTTCAATTTCTCAGAGCCTTAATTTCCCATCAGTAAAATGGGAACAGCTAGATTTCTGAGGATGAGTCAAGTGTGCAAGTCACATGTATACAGTACTGTGTATCCTTTCATATTCCACAGGAAACAGTGCAAGTTCACACACCTACTATGACTAATCCCCAATTCCAAGCTCCATGTTCAGAGGTTCAAGAAGAATGTAAAAGGAGTTCAAAAGATAGAACTATCTTTGCTAAATTTAGGAAATGCTCTCTTGAAGACTCACAGAGCATATATATGTGTGTGTGGATGTGTATGATATAAAGGCTCTATAATCGTTAGTATTTAGTATAAAGCTGATTCAACATGTACAGAACACTTCCCCAAAAGTGCATTTAAATAATGAAACCTTTCTTGCATAATGAGTATAAACATATAGACCTAATGTTCTTCTGGACATACTTTTGGATGAAAATACTTTAAGAGACATTGATTCCGATTAATTAATATATAACAAGTTAATACTGCATCCGATTAATATTTAATATTAATAAAATCAGTAGGTTATAGGACAAAGCACAAGAAATCAGGGATACCTGCAATAGCCGCCACACCAGGTGGCATCAAGCAAACTGCGCTCACCTGCCCCGCAGGCGGGCGGAGCACGGACCACTGCCTCCACCGCCCTTTTCCGCCACCACTTCCATCCCTTCCCGCCCATCTACCCGCACCTAACCGAGGGCAGGGACGGGGCAGGGTAACTTGGTTCTGGGAGAACAAGCAGCCCCGCGACCGGCTGCAGCCTGCCTGCTCCCACCCCACGGCGGGTGCAGAGCCACCCCGCCTCTCCTGTCTCTGGTTGCACGGTCCACAATACTGTAAAGTCGTTTTAAGGCACAAACACTTCCCCGCTCCCTTCAGCCCCTCACCTTCACGAAAGCAATCGGGGTGGTGGTACCTTCGATATCTAGCAGGATCACCGTGACTTCGGCTGGCACCGAGAGCACGACCATCTCCCTACCGGATGCTACCACGGAAACCGGCCTGCTGGACGGGAGGGCGGCGCCGACTGCACGCCCAGCACCGTCCTGGGCTTCCGGAAAAGCTCCCTGGGGCGGTCGGACCACGTGCGGCCTGAAGCCTGAGGGAGAAGAGGGCACCCCCACACCACCGACGGTGGAGCAGGCCACCGAGTTAGGGGCCTGAACTAGGGAGCGGCCCGGGGCCGGAACCACGTGGGTCTGGAAAGGGGCGGGGCGGCGGGGCTCTGAGGGGGCGGGGCAAGCACAAAGGCAGCGACGCCGACTGGCCACCAGAGGGCCTCCGACCCGTCCGTCAAGTCGGGCCTCGCGGGGGGGGGGGGGGGGGGGCGGGAACAAAGCGAGCGCGGGAGCCGAGTGCGCGGGCGGGCGCGCGCTCCCCGCAGACAGGTTAGGCGAGCCGGAGAGGCCGGGGCACGTGCCGACGGGAAGCCCGCGAGTGGCGCGCCGGGGACGTGAGTGCCCCCTGCCCTCTACGACACCTAGTCCTTCCTCACCCCTCCACCCCCGCCCACCAACGCTGCGTTTGCATATTTACTGTAATCTAACCGGGCCTGCGCCCCTCCCCGTCCTCGGCCAGCCCAAGAGGCCGCGCGGCGCCCCCGGGGGGGGGGGGGGGGGGTCTGACTGCGGTGGTTCCGGCTGATCGGCTCGGGAGGCCCGCCGCCCCCTCCCGGTAGCAGGAGCGGAAGAGGCGCCGCTGCCCGCAGGGGCCGCCGCGCCGCTTCCTGTCGGCGGGTTCCAGCCGGAGCGGGGACCCAACACGCTTGCGCGCGGCCAAGGCAGGCGCGCTCGCCGCCTCATCCGCCGGTGCCGGGCGCAGGACGCCTTTTCCTGGAGCAGGCCGGCTGCGGAGCTCATCGGGAGCAGCCGCCGCAGTCCCGCGCGGGGGTACCGAGGGCGGAGGAAGGCAGGGTGGACAGCTGTTGCTAGGAGTGGGCTGGACCGGACGCCAGAGACAAAGGCTCTCCAAGCAAGAGGAACTCGGCCCTGCCACGGCGCTGCTGCTCGGGAATTTGTGAACCCAGGATTTCTCGCCCCTTCGTTTTTTTCGCTTCCGACGCTTCTCTCCTCCCGAGAGCTCGCGACCTCGCTCCTCACCACCGGAGGGCCGCGATGGAGGTCCCGCCCCGGCTCTCCCATGTGCCGCCGCCATTGTTCCCCTCGGCGCCCGCTACTCTAGCCTCCCGCAGCCTCTCCCATTGGCGGCCGCGGCCGCCGCGGCAGCTGGCGCCGCTGCTCCCTTCGCTCGCTGCCGGCACCGCCCGGCAGGGGGCGCGCCGGGGCCCGCGCCACGTCACCGCCCAGCAGCCCTCCCGATTGGCGGGCGGGGCGGCTATAAAGGGAGGGCGCAGGCGGCGCCCGGACCTCTTCCGCCGCCATTTTAAATCCGGCTCCATACAACGCTCCGCCGCCGCCGCCGCCGCCACTACTCGAACTGCGCGCCAGCACCCGCCGGCTGACAGCGCCGCCGCCATGGAGGACGTGAACGAGTACAGCAACACGGAGGAGTTCGCAGAGGGATCCAAGATCAACGCGAGCAAGAATCAGCAGGATGACGGGTACCGCACGCTGCTTCCCCTCTCTTTCTCCCCTTCCTCCCCCGCGCGCGCCCTTCGTTCCTCGAGAACCCCGCGCCGTCCACATTCTTGCCCGGAGTCGATTCCCCGCGTGCCCGCGGGGGCCCCGCTAGCTTGGAGAGAAGAGGAAAGTAGGAGACGGAGGGGGGGGGAGGACTCGAGAGGCCCGCGGCGGTGGGGGAAGGGCGGGCGGAGGGGTTGGAGGCGGCGTCCGGGCCCCGAGTGCGCAGGCGCCGCGTGGGCCGTGGGGGAGGGGCCGCTGGCTGCGCCGCTGCTGCAGCTGCCGCCGCCGCCTCCGCCTCATTGTGTCTGTTGGGGCCCCACGCGGTCCTCCCGGGCAGAGCTTACCGAGCTCTCGGTTTGGGAGCCGGCGAGCGCCGGTGCACCCAATCCCTAGAAATCCTCCTGCGGAGTTCGTTGGGTGGAACATTGGCTGGATGGCTGAGGAAGGAGGTGGACGGACCTCCGTTGTGAGGGACCCGTTTAGGAAGCTGCATGTTCTAAAGTAGAACGATGTTTAACCTTTTGTTGGCCTCGCCCTCGTTTAAAACTTTGCATGATGCGGTGTGGGAGAGCAAAGCTGTAAGGTGTTTGGAGTAAAGTGACCTCGAGGGGACTTTGGAATCGTTGTGGTCTGTTGATATGAGTCTCTGAAAACATGAGTTACATTACTTGCACTGGGGTGGGGGGTGGGGGATTAAACGTCCCGTACTTTATAGGTAAACCCGCTGCTAACCTTTTTTTAAAAAAAAAAACAAAAAACACTTTGTTTCTAGTAAAATGTTTATTGGAGGTTTGAGCTGGGATACGAGCAAGAAAGATCTGACTGAATATTTGTCGCGATTTGGGGAAGTTGTAGACTGCACAATTAAAACAGATCCTGTCACTGGACGATCAAGAGGATTTGGATTTGTGCTTTTCAAAGATGCAGCTAGTGTGGATAAGGTAGGAGTGGGTTTTGCATGATGATACTTTTGTATGCCTTTTGCAAATTGGTTGGGGATTGATTGTATGTTGCTGTCAGATTAAATAAATATGTCTTTCAGGTTTTGGAACTGAAGGAACACAAACTGGATGGCAAATTGATAGATCCCAAAAGGGCCAAAGCTTTAAAAGGGAAGGAACCCCCCAAAAAGGTTTTTGTGGGTGGCTTGAGCCCAGATACTTCTGAAGAACAGATTAAAGAATACTTTGGAGCCTTTGGAGAGGTGCGCTATGTAATTGTGTGTTTTTACATAATATTCATCCCTGACCCACTTCTTACAGAATAAATTCATATGTCAGTTGAAGATGGGATTAAATTACTGCTTGGGGTCCTTCCAGTCACCATACTTGAATCACTGCTTTCTGTGCTGTAATGCAAACCAATTTCTAATTTATTTTGTAGAAAACATGGGTGCTTTGGTGTGGCCAGTGTTTGGACTTTTAACTAGTGGCACCTGTAGAGTATGATAAGGTCTTAAATAAAGGAAGCTTTGCTCTCCCTTTACTTAACAGATAAATCAATTAGCTTGATGTAGACGTTAAGCAGTAGTAATCTCTAGATCACTACTAAGTGATCAGATTAGAATACCATGTTATGTTGAAGTTTGCAAAGGACCTGTGGTTTTCTAAGACCTTTTGGTAGCTTTTTGCCATTACTGGATGATCTTGAGTGTGCTTCTTAATTTCAGATTGAAAATATTGAACTTCCCATGGATACAAAAACAAATGAAAGAAGAGGTTTTTGTTTTATCACATATACAGATGAGGAGCCAGTAAAGAAATTGTTAGAAAGCAGATATCATCAAATTGGTTCTGGGAAGGTAAAGCCATTTTAATTCTATAAAGTGAGGGTTTTGAGTTTCTTTTTATTAGTGAAATGATTTCTCAATCTTGTTTGCTTTTTAAATTTTGTCTATAGTGTGAAATCAAAGTTGCCCAACCCAAAGAGGTATATAGGCAGCAACAGCAACAACAAAAGGGAGGAAGAGGTGCTGCAGCTGGCGGAAGAGGTGGTACTAGGGGTCGAGGCCGAGGTGAGAATTCTTGGGAAATGAGTCGATAATTGTTTAAGCTATAAACTGCTAAAATGAAAAAATAGACTTGAGAAAGTAAAATCAGATATAACTTGTTTCAGGAAAATGCTCTGTTGAGTGGGTGAAGTTTTGTATTGTTGACTGGTTTCACCTTTGCAAGAATGGCTATGAGACTGTGTCATCACTGGTAGAAAAATGATACTATTAACTGTTGTGAAGATTACACTGTACACCATGGTGTGTGATACATTTGCTTGAGAAGTTCTTGATTTAAATTTTAAATTGATTTTTAGAACTGAGAGAAACATTGACCTGTTTGTTCCACATATTTCATACATTCATTCATTTATTCATTGTTTGGTTCTTGTATGTGCCCTGACGGGTTCAAACCTGAAACTGCAACCTTGGCGAATTGGGATGATGCTCTAACCAACTGAGCTACCTGGCCAGGGCCTAGGAATTCTTGCTTTAAAGTTAGTCTACCTCTCTTCACCTTTGTTCTGATTTTCCATTCAGTTTAGGAAGCATGATTCTAGCACAAGTGGACTTTCTGCCCCCTTTTTGTAATTTTCAGTCAGCAATATAGACATCCTTTCTGCTTGAGATTTGCAGAGGAAGAGACAGAATGCATCATTTTATGTTGGGATTGGGGAGGGACAGGTCCAAAAGTTGTTTCCTAACAATCATTGTGCATTGTTTCAGGTCAGGGCCAAAACTGGAACCAAGGATTTAATAACTATTATGATCAAGGATATGGAAATTACAATAGTGCCTATGGTGGTGATCAAAACTATAGTGGCTATGGCGGCTATGATTATACTGGGTATAACTATGGGAACTATGGATATGGACAGGGATATGCAGACTACAGTGGTAAGAATATTTAACTTAATTTTATAACCATTGGTATCAAAATTCAGTGTTAAATTATAATCCCATTCTAAAATTGTGTTTCCCCTTTAATGAAATGCTTTGAGTTATGTTTTCAAGGCAATTGATAGTCATAGGGTGATTTTACTAATATAAAAGTTCTGGTTATAAATGTTCAAGAATATGTGATATATGACTAGTTTATAATGGCTATTACAATCTTGTTTCCTATTTGACATGTAGTTTTATACTTTTAATACTTAAGTATACTTAAATAATGAAATCATTTCATAAAAATTATCTTGATATGATTTTTTGTCTTACGAAATAGGCCAACAGAGCACTTACGGCAAGGCGTCTCGAGGGGGAGGCAATCACCAAAACAATTACCAGCCATACTAAAGGAGGACATTGGAGAAAACAGGTGTGTATAAGAGTATGAGACACCAGTGGAAATACCTAATTTAATTTAAAGATCAATAGACAAAATAAAAACAAGTAAAAAATATTGTATAGCTTTTTTTTTTTTTTTACTAAATTGTTAAATTTTAATTGCTTTATAAGCCTGTTTTGCCTAAAGTGTCTATAGATCTTTAACTTTAAAGTTTCACTTCACTTTCCTTAGTATTACAGAAAAACTTAAAAGTTTTTCTGTTTGCTTTGTGTACCAGGTGATCTAGAGGAATAATTAAACATTTTTAGAACTATTAACAGGTAAAGTACTGAAATGGGTACAAACTTAAGGAAAACACGAATGTTGTCTTCTAACTCTGACATTATACCTTGTTTGTACCCGCCAGCGGGAACTTCATTGCAGGCCGTGTGTCACCCTGACCACGTCTATCTCTGGGGGTCGCACGTTGCGGGCAGAGCGCAAGGCATACACCAGAAAACGCTGTCCTGTGGTATGGTCTCTTCCAACTTCATGTACCAGCGTAAAGATTAAAGTGGAAAACTTCAGACTTTGGCTTCTTTTTTTAATCTTTTTGGAGATTAAGTGTCTAAACTTAACTTAAATGGTTTTTTACAGGAGTTAAAGTACATAAATGCCTTTTTACAGCTTACTCATTTTGGTCTTCTGTTTAGTGTTGTATTTCAATTGTGGAGCCTCATTTTAAGTGTTCATTCTTTAAGATTTAATGCTTGCTTTTTCTTTTTATAGCTAATAGTGAAATCTACAAACCAAAACAAGAACTTTAAAATCTGGGATATAAATTAAAGATCATATGCACGCAATTTTCCTTGAAATTCAATAATCTTCCTAAAATGTATGTCATAAAGTCGTTTTACTTGGTTTACTAGAGATACTTCTAGTAGACTAATCTAGCACAGTTCAACCTGTGGCTATGGGGAAGTTCTATTCCCAGATTCTTTTCTAAATAGATTTAAATTTGCTGTCATTTGGGAAACCGGGTGAATTTCCTAACTACCCAAACCACATTTGCCAATGAATATGCATGTGATCTTTAATTATTGAAGAAAAGAATAAAGTGAGGACTTTAAACAATTCATGAAAGTGGACCTTTGAAAGCTTGTCAGAGTTGCACAAATCTAATTGCTATTTTGTTTTTGTTTTTAGGAGGAGATTGCTAAAGTAACCCATCTGGCAGGACGACATTGAAGATTGATTGGTCTTCTCTTGCTCTAAGATGATTATTTTGTAAAAGACTTTTTAGTGTATAAGACACAACCGTGTCCAACTGTATATAGCCGCCAATTAGTTTTCTTTGGTTTTTACTTTTGTCTTTTGCTATCTGTGTTATGATTCAATGTGGATTTGTGTTTATACAAATTTTATTTGTATGATTTCATGTTAAACCTCAAATAAATGCTTCCTTATGTGATTGTTTTTCTGCGTCAGGTACTAATAGCTCTGTAAAAAAAGGGTGATTTTAAATAAGCAATAACTAAGGCACAGTTTATTTTGTAAGGAGTATTGGTCTGTAAGGAGAAACTGTGGCCCTTATGAACAGCCAGCTACAGTGTCACCCTGTTCCCATTTTTTGTTAGCTGTATCCTATGCTCCCACTCTTCATTTCCCAGTAAACTGAGGCTTTCACTGCATTTCAAAATTCCTCTTGTGTATCTGGAGACCTTGTCATGGGAGTGTCCCATGTCATAGGTGTTGAGATTATTGGAAGCTTTCTATTAGACTATGAGTCTAACAGTGATTATATTCTGAAGAAGAGTACCCCTTTAATGGCACAAAGCATGTTGGTTGCTCCATTTATGAATGGGAAAGATTTTGCTTTTGTTCCTTTATCTGGAAAGGCATTTGTTGTGATTTGTTAAATATTTTAAGTGGTTTGTTAGAAAGACCTTTGAGTAATAATACCATGACTTTGTTTTCTTGATAAAAAGTCCAGATGTATCCAGGAATAGAACACTGTTGAACTAGTGGGACCTATAATTTGAAGCTATCAAAAATAGTTACATTATCACATTTTGGCAGATAAGGTTGAGGTTATTAAAACGAGCAAAAGTTAAAATAGGGTATTTAAAGGTAATGACTGAATTAAATTAGTTTTAGTTGGTATGTCACAGAGGCAAACAATTGTTTTCTTTGGGGGCATTCTTTGGAAGCTATATTGGGTGTTAACTGTTAATGTGGTGTGAACTCTTAGAAAAAGCCATGTTAGTAGCTCATTTTTTAAATGCAATTAGTGCATGGGTCAAGTAGCTACGCATAGCCATATTCAGACAGGAAGAAATAGTAGGGAGACTTGAGTGTTATTTTAATGCAAATCTAAGTGTGACCAAGTCATGTCAATAGACCAATCTTGGTGCATCTTTAAAAAGCTTTAGATTTTGGGAGGGTTTCCTGGGTAAATCCAAGCTTTGAATTTTATATTAAGTATAGTTATTGGACTTAAAGTTTTTTAAATTTTGTTTTTGTTTCATGTTATCCATTGGGGGTTGGGATATGTTCATATGTGGAATAGTTGACCTCACCTCAAAGTGTAAGCTTATGCTGGTGAACCTGCCGTTTTTTTATTTGGTGCCTGCAACTTTGTTCATATAATGTTTGTATTTGCTGGGCTATCAAGTTGCAAAACTCTTGGCCTTGTTTTGCTCCTGTTTTCATATTTTGACCTTACACCTAAGCCAAATCCCAGTGTTGGCTATTGCAAGGGACTCTGTTTAAACGTACACCCCTAGCACAGAAGGGATGTTTTCATTTTGTTATGTCAGTCAACAGGTGCAGTGTCTTTAGGGCAGTGAATCCTGTAAGTTGAAGTTTATGATTAGGTGACAAGTTGACATTGAGATTGTCCTTTCCCTGATCAAAAATGAATAAAGACTTTTTAAACAAAATTCAAACTTTTCAATCAAGTCTTAATGTATATGACTTAAGAAATACAAAGAATTGGAGGGGGAATGAGTATATGTCTTTGTGTTTTGCACTTGTCCAAGGTGCTTTGGACTCCATGCTTAATTCTGATTAAAGGCTCTGTAAGTGCCAGCACATGAATTTGAAATAAGTATGCTAAGGTTAAGTGCTCTAGACACATCTATTAGGATGAAGAGTAAATAAAGTTAGCATTAAGGTTTCATTCTGAAGTACTTGAACTAAGCAAAGTGATTTGACAAGTTGGGGTTAATTCTGAAGTACCTATGATAAATATGCTCAACTAGCTTGTATATCTTTCTGAAATATGCTTCATGGATTGTTTTAACCAAATTCTGTGTAGTGTTACTCATCCTAACTTATTAGCAATTTTGTTGATTAATGTTACTGTTCCATACTCTCCTAGTTATGTTTATAAAGTTAGGAATATTAAGAATTAAGGTGTCTATTGGGATGCTAAACATGGGTAAGCAAAACTTGTTCCTTTTTCGGTCCTCGCCTGAGGATATCTATTCTTTTTTCTTTATTGAGTGGAAAGTAGGGGAGAGTCAGGGAAACATCAGTATGAGAGAAGCAAGTTAATTGGCTGCCTCCCACATGTGATGGGTATTAAGCCTGCAAACAAACATACGTGTCCTTGACTAGACTCAAACCCAGGACCCTTTAGTCTAAGGGCCAATACACTATCCACTAAGCCAAATTGGCTAAGTTCCATAAGTAGAAGGGAGAGAGAAACATCTCAACTGGCTGCCTTCTGCATGTGCCCCAACCAGGGCGGGGATCAAACCTCCAACCCAGTGTGTCTCCTTGACCAGAAATCCAACTGACCCTTTGGTATGTTGGGCCAACATTCTAACTACTGTGCAACACTAGCCAGGGTGGTAAGCAGAGCTTTTTTTTTTTCATTCTCAATGTATCTCTTTCATAATGGTGACAGAGAGGGAACCACTGCTAACTTTAGTTGAAAAGATAATTCAGAACACTAAAGGTATATAAAATTTTAGTTGTAGGAGATGAGTATCATTTGAACTGATCCTAGCATTAAGCAATTATGTTAAAGCACTAGAGGCCTGGTCCATGAAATTCTTGCATGGGTAGGGTCCCTAGGCCTGGCTAGCAATCAGAGCCAATCTGGGTAACCAGCTGGGTGATTAGGAGGCCCCCTCTAGCACCAGCGTGGCACCACCCTCTCACTGGTCTGCCCGCTGTACCCTCCCTCAACAACAATGGGGGAGTGGCCTCCACTGGCACCTGCCTTGGCTGGCCTGGGGGCAACTCCTGCTTGAGCATCTGTCCCTTGGTGGCCAGTGTGTCATAGTGACTGGTGGTTCCTCCATTTGATTTGTACATTAGGCCTTTATTATGTAAAGATTCCTCCTCACACTTTACAAGCTAATAGAACTGTTGTTTATTGTGGTCTTTTTGAGCAAAAGCATGCAACTTTGTCTTTCATATTGTCATTCAAAGGTATTAGCCATAAAAATATGGCCTGTTCTTTTAGGATTGGTTGGGATTTTACACTTTTTGTCCTGTTAAGTTAGCTGTCGAATTGCAACAATTTTTGATTGAACAATAAAAATTCACATTTAACTCCTCAACCACTTTTTATAAATGAAACAATACAATGGTGTTCTGGGAATTACGGGGTAAAGCTGAATATTCTGAAGACTTAATTTGTATTACTTTAAATAGGTTAATATCTGGTTTTACTCTATTAGCACTTATTTCATAGGTATACCACTTGGGAAGGCATATAATCATTACTGCAGTATTTACCTTATCTGCAGTTTTGTTTTCTTTTTGCCCTCCTCTCTCCCTCCCACATATACCCTCCCTCTCCAGAGTTTTATGTCCATTGGTTGTACTTATATGCATGTATACAAGTCCTTCGGTTGATCTATTATCTCCCCCAGATCTTCCTCCCCTCTCCACTGTAATTTGACAGTCTGCTTGTTGCTTTACTGTTTCTATATCTTTTGGTTCATCAGATTATGTTTTTTATTATCCATAAATGAGTGAGGTCATGTGGTGTTTCTCTTTCATTGATTGGCTT